AATGTCAAACCTAAACAAACAAAAATCTAATGACAATCAAGTTTTAAAAGCATTATGTCATATACCACAAGTTTTTTTCAATAGATTGAGTTGATATTGAAGACCATTAATTTGTTTTTGAAGATCATTATTTTGTTTTTGAAGATCATTTATTTGTTTTCGAAGAGAATCAATATCGCAGTTTTTCCTGTGCAACGCGAGCAATAATGACGCTTGATCATCTTGTAGGTGGTCAATAATGGCTTGAAGATCTTGAATTTGATTCTGTAAATTGCGTATTGGATTTCCTGGTGGTGCAATATTCTAAAAAGAAATTGAAAATGTTATTATTAAAATGTTACCTAAAATCATTTTATAAAAACATGAACAAAAAAAAACATTATTAGTTGGTATTAGAAATAAGATGCAGCAATTCTTAACGATTGATACGATTAACGAACGTTCGGTCTTTGTTAAAGCTTAAAATATGTAGACATTCATTTTTATACGTACAATATTCTTCAACTTGCACATTGTTAAATTTGTATAGGCAAAGAATAAGAATTATTTTTGGACGAATCTTTGTCTTAATAATATTGAAGAAAGAAATTGTACTTGTCCTTTTCGCCGTCCTTTCCGATGTCAATGTTTACTATTGGTTCATTTGGTCACTATTGATATTATTTACTGAACGACTAATCAATAATATAGCGATATCTTTCGTCTCTTTGAGAGAAAAAAAATACAGGGTGTCCCAAAAATTCGATTGAAAAAAATGTCAATAGTTTTTGAGCAGGTTAAAGGCTTTACATGTTTTTGTGTACTCAAAAAGTGAGTACACTCTAGAATCTGTCAGTGTGTCCGGCCGGCCGTCCGTATACACGATAACTTTTGAAAGGAGAGTCAGATTACGATGAAATTTTCTACACAGTTTAGTCTTAACAATGTCTCGGTCGAGTTCGAAGATGAGCATGATCGGCCGAGCCATTCGTGAGTTATTGCAAAAATAGTCATTTTTCCCTATAGCTTCCTATGCGAAAACCGACCCATCTTGGCTTTCATAAACAACTTTTTCTATCATAGTTAAATAAAACCCCAACTATTATATACCTTTCGATAGAGAATTTCACGAGCTACAAAATAGTATATAAAACATAAAGTAACAAGAAGGCTAACTCACCTATTACAAAGATAATTAAAGGGAAATGGGTTCCGTTTTTGTTCACGATCTAATTGACTCACAATTCGAGCTCTATCTTCCGATCATAGAGTTGATACTTTGAGGTTTTCTGGGGGCGGAGAACTCGAATCCGTACTCCACTTGCCTCGAAATATTATTGGTTGAGCAGTGACCATATAGAAATCAAGTTATAGGAAAAAACGACTTTCTTAGGGTTAATCAAGGCGAAGAGTTCAAATTTGAGCTCTATTCGCCTCCAAGCCCTATTGATGGACCAAAAGCCAACAGAAATAAACAGTTTATAGGAAAGGTTTCCCAGTATAATTTTGATATCCACATATTCTAGGATGACTCATCTGTCTAATTCTCTTTTTGAAGTACACATAACTCTCGGATTTAAATCCGAAGTTTCCGCATTTATTTAATAGTGAGATAGACTACTCTTTAAAAATTTTTTCAACATACTTCCGATAAAATACTTGTGCCTATCAATGTCATAATTAGAATAGTTCTAGTGATGACGAAATTCAAGTCTTCTGTAACTATACAACCAAAACTGCAAGCTAAGTACAGTAAAGTCAGGCCAAATAACAAATTCATTAAAATTACATTTCAAGGCTTTTGTGATATTGCTAAGGTAGAATATTGCTCAGAGAGATCTAAAATAATCACTGAAGAAAACTCAGTGAAATTCATAATGCTGATGAACATGTACCCAGATGCAATGTTTAATCTATTTTGTAACCTTGTTCCACATTGCTAGCAACCAACACGGAATTATGATAGAACATCTATAACTACAGCTATTTATGATAAAATATACTGAATAACTCTACAAAGAAACTTACTAGGTCGTAGTGAAGCATGTAAAGCGTTATCACAAACATTGTTAGACAGTAGCTTCAGAGAAAATGTTTTTTTTCTCAAACAAAACAACTGTCATTTTAATAGAATACTCAATAAGCCGAGCATTAGAAAGAACGTCTGTAAGATGCTCGAGAGAGATCTTATTGAAATGAAAATGAGAACAGATAATAATATGAAAAATGATTTCGAAAGAAACTCTATAACATATTTTTTTAATATATCGAAATGAATGGATTCAGATATTTCAATTGAAGCTGATCGTTGAAAAACATTTCATAATTATTAGAAATTATTTCAAGTTACAAAAACAAAAATGATTATTGATATTTTCTATTATCCGTCGCATAAATAATAAAACTGGTTGGCACAGCCCCTTTTGAACTGAAATATGAAACTACATCCTATACCCTTTGATTAAAGCTTAATAAGAGAGAAAAAAGAATAATAATCAACATTTAAGAATAAATAAAAAAACATTTGATACAGTTAATAAATAGAAGCAAGACAGCTGTGTTTTTATACTGTGATACCATGATAAAATAAGAATTAAAATATAAAGAAGAAGCGAAAAATAAACATAATTCTAAGCATATTTATTTAAGGATAACAACTAAATGATAAAAATAAACATAAGACAGAGTGCACAGGACGTGAACATGTTGAACATGTATAAATGTTTGTATTTAGAAAAGCCAACTTAATTGTTGATAAATTATCATTTTACATAGGTTTAATATAATGTTTTCCTAATTCTTTGATTAATGACAATACACATGCTTTTGTTTTATCACTTATTTGTGATAATAATGTCAATTGACTTGTTTCATTTGTATTTAACGATAGTGTTTGATCAATTATTGTTGTTGATGATGATGAATTATCGATTGTTCTAAATAGAAGACTTTCGTAGAATATATATTCAAACAAAAGAGGATCGATCAAAGTGTTCTATCATTCGTCATCATAGAAGAGACTAAAGCCCGAACGGAATCGAACTTTTTGATGTTTTACTCAATTTAACTTAAAAGGTATTCGTACAATGAGCTGAACTCTTCTATTATGACTGCAAACACTCATTTAGTTGACTATTTTGAATAAATTATATTATTTCGAAGATATTCTTTACTATTATTGGAGATATTTTCGTTGATACATCATTGGTAGACAAAATCAATTAGACATTGCTAATTCAAGTTGTGTTCATCAACAAACTCCAAATCGAATCAAACAATCTGAAATCTGTATCGATTCTGTTCCTGTGAAAAATATTCAGAAATGTTAACTATTATGATCATACTGCAACAGATATTTGATAGCCATCCCTTAGTAAAGTACAATTAGAATAACCAAAGATAAGTCATAGAGAGAAATCTCTAATCAAAAATATTGGTACCTAGTGACAGTTTCATTTTTGATTTCAATCACATCATATTCATAGTTATTATTATTATTTCAATGAAATATAACGTCAATTGTTATAGCAAAAGATTTGGTTCTTTTTGACTTCTGATGATCTGAGTTTTGGTTAAATGAGTTAAAAACGATAC